GTGCTCATCTCCGTTTCAAAGCCGAAGAGCCTGCGCTGTCCGAAGACGTTTCCGTGGTCATGTGGCCGGCATGACTAAACACCAAGGCGCACGGAACGCTGTTCCCTTCCCACCGAAGTGGTACCTATTTATCTACTTGCAGTTTCTTGCTTTCGAACTGCTAGGTTGGCAGGAGCTGGCACTAGAGACGGGAGCTCACCCCGTCATGCGGCAACCCGGGTCTTGAACTGCTGAACTCCTGACCTTCCACAGCCTGCAGTTCAGCGTCTTAACCACTTGAGCCACCGCAGCTCCATATTCAGTTGGTAGATTGTGCCATTTGTGGACAGTGTGAAGAAGTAGTTGTTATCCAGGATGTGTGTGTTTTTCGGCTTAATGATTGCCCCTGTTTTTGTAAGTTTGGGGGAGGCAGGCTGTGTTTCCAGCCTTTTCCTGATAATACTGTAGATGCCAACTTTGGATTGGATGGCTCATCCTTTAAAAAAAAAAGTGACTATTAAAGTACCATTTCAGTACCATCAAGGTGCATAGTAGCTTTCAGAATAATATAGGCCGAAACAACAACTGTATTACAATCTGAATTTCAACACTGGGGAGAGACATCACGCAATGGACGAAGATGAGGGATGGGAAGTAGCAAGGGAATGGACAACAGGACATTTGATGATAACTATTTAAGCTCGGTTTTTGTTTGGAAAGAGGTCTACAAGCAGAACTGCACATTATGAGGAGCGCAGATCGGCCAGTGAATAAACAGCTTTAAAATGGGATTAGATGGATTCCTGGAGGATAAGTCTGTCAGTGGCTACTAGCCATGGCGACTGAGGGGGACCTCCACATTCAGAGGAACTAATCCTCTGAATCCTGGAGCCAGGAGGCAACATCAGGGGAAGGCCTCGCCCTCTATGCCCTGTTGTTGGCCGTCCAGAGGAACTGGTTGGCCGCTGTGTGAGACAGGATGCTGGACGAGATGGACCGTTGATCTGATCCAGCAGGGCTCTTGTTCTTATGAAAATGGCAGCCTCATGCTGAGTTTTCCTTCTTTGTAATTGTACTTCATACCCTGTATTCTGACGCTGTTACACTGAGCAGTTCCCTGCGTTAACACCCAAAGGTGGGGAAATGTATGGCATAATGACCTTGAGGGTGCAAGGAAAGTTGTACTTCATATTCTGATGGAGGAGCTGGAAACTCAACACAGGGCTACTGTTTTTAGTGGCAGTCTCATATTCATTTCAGCAGGGGTCATTTCCTGCAGGAGCACACGGGAGCGGAGCTCCGGCAGTAAAGAGCCCAGAGGGTGGTCACATGCAAAAAGCCCCACCCCCTGCTCCCAGCAGCCCTCAGTCAGAGCAAGAAGCAGCCAGGTAAGCTGCAGAGCCCGGCCCCCCGGCCCAAAACAGTCCAGTGGCACCTTTAAGACCAAGTTTTATTCAGGTGCAAGCTCTCCCTCCTCTGCGAGGACAGATCTGCACATCCCCCCCCCCCAATAGCTAGGAATCCAAAACAGCCCAGTGGAGCCTGAGCGGTGGGTGTTGGCTTCTGACACGCTTCCGGTGATGTCAGGGGGTGTGGCATATGCAAATAAGTTATGCTAATGAGTTATGCTAATGAGCTCCTGCACCTCTTTTTCTACGAAATGACCCCTGATTGTAAGCCCTTTGAAAATAAGCCACGGGCTTCCCAGAAGTCTGCCGAGCTCGCAGAGTTTTAGGTACTGTTGCTGGGATTTTCTGTAAACAGTTTGGGCAAATACTATTATATGAAAAGATGTCTAATTTGTTGGCATAGCAGGCATGTTGTGCCCCCTTTTCCATGTTGAATAGGCTATTTACTTTTCCGTTACTTTCTTTAATTAGGCCCTGTTTGGGTGGGGTTCTGCATTGTTACCGAACAGCAAATTGTCTCCTTGCTTTGATGCATTTTTGGTATGAGCCTCGTAGATAGCTGGGGAGGGAAGGCAACCCAGAAAATATTTGAGTGGCTTGCCTGTGTGGCTTCAGCGATATGGCTGGTGAGCGTATCAGCCTGGAAAGCATTCTGGCTTGCTGTTCTAGACAAAAAGTAGAAGTCCCACCCCCTCTAAATCCAACGGGAGCTTTTCCATTGCTCATTAGAAGCAGGATATTGCTGGCTCCGCTCTCTTCTCTGCCTGCGAGAATTGCCTCATGGAAAGAATGCCTTCTTAACGCTCCCCTTTGGTGGAGGGGGCATTCCGAGGCACCTGTGGGGCAGGGTGTGTTTGTGTTGTCAGTGCTGGAATTGTGTGGTATCAAGGCAGGGAGACAGTTTAGGGCTGGCGGATCTGGGTTGGGAAATTCCTGGAGATTTGGGGGTGGTGCCTGGGAAGACCCTCAGCGGGATCTCATGCCACAGAGTCCACCCTGCAAAGCAGCCATTTTCTCCAGGGGAACTGATCTCCGTGGTCTGGAGATATCAGCTCCACCTAGAGAAAAAAAACGTTTTCCCCCCATTTTTTTCTCTGAAGCCTTTTTTGTTTTTTCCTGAAAAATTGAAAAAAGAAAAAAGGAAAACAATTGATTATGGAACATTTTATTTTAACATGATGAATAAAATATTTTAAGACAAGGTGTTCAAATATTTTCCAAATCATTTTTCATATATATGGTATCAGATTGATCTAATTTCTGTGCACTGAGGACAAGCAAGTCCTAGGTTACAAACTGAATTCTCCAATGCAAGAACAAGATGCATTTCTTCCTTTAGGAGGTGCGATTGTCAGAAGAAAATAAAAAAGTTTCAGTTTTGTTTTTGCATGTGGATGGATATTCTGTTTGTAATAATTCATGCTAAGTAAAAATGTCCATAGTCATATTTTATGTTCCTAAAGTAACAGAATGACTTTCAATCTAGAAAAGGCAAAAGAAATGCTAATGTGGCATTTTTTCCAATTTTTCCAAAAATTTCCATTTTCTCCCGAAAAAAACTGGAAAAAAAATGGGGTTTTTTTCCCCGAGCTGCAAAATTTCCAGAAATTTTACATCTCTAGCTCCACCTGGAGGTTGGCAGTCCTAAGCGAGTTGGTATCATTTCCCCCTGTATGTACATGTACACACACACACACACTTCCTTGAGTTCTTAAGTGAAAGAAGGCCTCGCTCCTAGCCTTTGGGTCACTACTAGGGTTGCCAGGACATCCCTGGCCACCGGCAGAGGGGTATGGTTGCCAATTCCAGGCTGGGAAACTCCTGGAGATTTGGGAGTGGAGTCTGGAGAGGACAGGGACCTCAGTGGGGTGCAGTGCCAGAGAATCTACCATCCAAAGCGGCCATTTTCTCCAGGGGAACTGATCTCCAGAGTCTAGAGATGAGCCGTTGTTCCGAAGGATCCCCAGGTCCCCCCTGGAAGCTGGCAACCCTATTGCCAGGTACAAGAGAGAGTAATGAGGCAGTGGGAAGGAGGCAAAGCGCTTGTGGTAAAATAACCTCTAATATCTATAGATTGTAATCTGCAACAGCAGGGACCCGCGTGATACTGTGCAGAACAATCTCTACACTTTATGCAGGAAATGTGTACCTCTTTAGACCAATAAGTGTGGCGGGCAGATCCTTTAACCCCAAGTCTGTGCTGCGTCAGGTCGACCTGTTTAGACTGGGATTCTAGGCACACGTGGTGGTGGGAAGTGCTATCAAGTCACAGTTGCAGGGTTTTCAAGGCAAGAGGCATACAGAGGTGGTTTGCTATTGCCTGCTGCACGTACACTAGGCTTGCCAAGTCCCCCCGGGGGGTGGGGAAACCCCTGCCCCAGAGGCCCATTCCCCACCACCGGCGGATCGGGCCCCGTAGGGAACCCTACCCCGACGTGCACGTCACCCGGAAGTGACGTGACCACACTGGGGGTGGGGCTACGGTCATCCGAGGGAAAACTCTATGGTTTTCCCTCCGATGGTCGTGGCCCCGCCCCCAGCGTGCCCGGCGTGGTCACATCACTTCCGAGTGACGTGGATGCGGCGCGCGCATTCCAGCCGCCAGCCGGGAGTCCCCCGCTGCGGCAAAATTCAAACTTAGCAACCCTAACGTACACACATATTTAAGAACTCAACAGCTGTTGCTTACATTTTGTGTGCTTGCTGCAAGGAAAAAAATTGAACTTCATCTGTTGCCCTTATGGTTGGCTTGAGTGTAAGTGTGATTAACACAGGGTTGGGGGGTGTTGTTGCAGAAATAGTGTTAATTTAGAGAGGAGGCAGTTGAAAAGCGCGTAAGGGCAATAGCATAAAGAACATCTTCGGGGTTGTTTTTTTTTTTTGGTATTTCCCCATTTTGTGTGTGTGTGTGTCGCCATGCCTGGAAGTCTTGGTGACCTCTGGTGACTCCTGCTGAGGCATGGAGGATGTTCAGAGACGTAGCAGTGTTCCCTCTAAGCTGAGTTAGTGTGAGCTAGCTCACATTTTTTTAGCCTCCAGCTCACACATTTTGGTCTTAGCTCAGGAAGGATGGCTTCAGAGCAGACTAATTTTTGCAGAAGTCAAATCGCTCGCTCACAACTTTAAAGCCAGTCGCTCACAAAGGAGAATTTTTGCTCGTAAGACTCTACAGCTTAGAGGGAACATTGCTTGGTAGCCTGCCTCTGCCTCACAGCCCTGGTATTCCTTGGAGGCCTCCCATCCAAACACTTGCCAGGGTTGGCCCTGCTTCGCTTCCAAGATCTGATGAGATCGGGCTTCCCTGGGCTACCCAGGTCAGGGCAACATCCTCATACTTTTGAGTCTGCATTTAATAGCCAGCGTGGTATAGGGTTTAAGGATAGTGGACTCTAATCTGGAGAATCGGGTTTGAGTCTTCACTCCCCCACATGAAGTCTGCAGGTTGGCCTTAGGCCGGTCACAGTTCTCGCAGCCCCACCTACCTCACGAGACACCCGTTGTGGGGAGAGGAAGGGGATGTGGTTGTAAGCCGCTTTCAGACTCTTTAAGGTAGAGAAAAGCAAGGCATAAAAACCTACTTTTCTTCTTCTTCTGTCTCGGCAGATAACTCAGTGATAGGACGAGCCAAAAAGCTAAGACTGGCTGCAGAGAGGAGGAGGCGCAAAATGAACAGTGTCGCCCCGCACGCAAGATCCAGAGGCCCGTCGAAGTGAAGCGAGAGGGCTCGAAAATGTCTGCCTGCGGCGACTTTGTGGAACACATCTGGAAGCCGGGATCCTGCCAAAACTGCTTCTGCCCCAGACACTTCCACCAGCTGCAGACGCCACCCCTCGACCTGGGAAACAGCGGCCGGCTCGCACAGGATCCGCGTGGAATCCGAGCCAGACCCGAGCCTCTGGAAGATGAGGGCGTGACGTCCTTGCCTTACTCCAAGCCGACGATTGCTGTGAAGCCGACAATGATAAACTCGGATATTTCGGAGGTGTGGGCGGATGGGAACCTGAGCGCAGATCTCCCGCAGGTAATGATTAATGAGGGGTGTGGTGCATTTTTACAAGATTGCTTCCGTTGTTAACATTTGCCTTGGAGGAACCCTGGGTATTTGCTGTGGCAAGACTCCTTGTAAATGTGGGTCTGCTGTTACCTTTTGCAAACAAGGAAAGGGAGGTCCTGGCCCCACTGGCCTAGCGCTGCCTTGCTTGTTGGTAGCCGAGGAAACGTTTACGTGGTTTCAGGATGCGGGCAAAGCCCTGTCGGTTTCAGGAGGAACTGGCGAGCTCTGACGGCTGCTTGTTGAGAAATGCTCTTGCCTGTTGAGGATTCCTTTTTGAGTCCTGACAAGCCGCTGGCTGCTCCCCAGATTGATTCACGGAAACGTCTGTCTTTTTGATCCTCTCCTCCCAAGGGACTGGGGCGGGGCATGCATGGCTCTCCTGTCCCTATCTTACCCTCACAACCCTGACCTGGATAGGCCAGGCTAGCCCGATCCCGGAAGCTAAGCAGGGTCGGCCTTGGCTAGTATTTGGAAGGGCAACCTCCAAGGAATACCAGGGCTGTGACGCAGAAGCAGGCGATGGCGAACCACCTCTGAAACATCTCTTGCCTCCAAAACGAGTTTAGCTTGCCACCTAGTGGTGCGTAAAACAAAAAGAGCTAGAACTGTAGGCTGCCAGACAAGCTTAGGATCTCCTCTTTGGTGTAGTGCCAGTTTGGTGTAGTGGTTAAGTGCGCGGACTCTAATCTGGAAGAACCGGGTTTGCTTCCCCATTCCTCCACGTGCAGCTGCTGGTGTGACCTCGGGTCAGTCACAAGTTCTTTCAGAGAGAGCTCTCTCAGCCCCACCTACCTCACAGGGTGTCTGTGATGGGGAGGGGAAGGGAAAGGAGATTGTAAGCCACTCTGAGACTCCTTTGGGGAGTGAAGGGTGGGGTATAAATCCAATCTCTTCTTCTTTTCCTTCTTCTACACACAATGCCATACGATAATAAATTAATTAATTCTACCCTCAACAATAACCCCTGAGAAGAAGATTAGGATGTCACCCAGTGACCTTCATGCCAATTAGAAGCTGGGTCTCCCAGGTCGTAGTTGGACACTCTAGCCCAAGGGGTCTACAGTGTGGTGCCCACGGATGCCACGGGGCCTGCTGACAGGTTTCCTGGCATTCACCCTTTTAGAAGTTGGGGCGGGGGTCTTTGGCCAATGGACATTTGATTGGCTGTGCAGATATTTTAAAAATGTGCTTTGGCAGCAGCTGCCACCACAGCACAAGGATCTTCACGGTGTGACTGAAGGGAAGCTGTGGCAGCCATTTTGTGGCTGGCTCTGCATCTTGCAGCCGCCATTTTGTGGCTGCACACACCTCACTGTACCAGAATTCCAAAGGCGCCTGGAAGCATCCTTGCTGTATCCGCGACACCACATTGGCCGTCTCTCCTTGGAAGAACCTTCTACTCCCAGCTACTCTGAGCCAAAAGCAACCTCCTTCCAGACTTTTTCCAATGACCTTCATACTCTGGGGGTCCTTTAAGTTATATGACTAGTAAATAGAAGGATCAGCTCTGTAGAGAATGAGACATGCCAGAGCAGACCAGCTTACCTGTCTTCCTCATCTCTTAACTGCTTGGCACTTGAACACCAGTTTTATAGGGGGAGCTGCAGTGGCTCAAGTGGTTAAGATGCTGAACTGCAGGCTGTGGAAGATCGGTAGTTCAGCAGTTCAAGACCCGGGGTGCCGCATGACGGAGTGAGCTCCCGTCTCTAGTTCCAGCTCCTGCCATCCTAGCAGTTCGAAAGCAAGAAATTGCAAGTAGATAAATAGGTACCACTTCGGTGGGAAGGGAACAGCGTTCCGTGCGCCTTGGTGTTTAGTCATGCCGGCCACATGACCACGGAAACGTCTTCGGACAGTGCTGGCTCTTCGGCTTTGAAACGGAGATGAGCACCGCAACCTTAGAGTTGGACTCTAGGGTCTTTTGAGCAAGGGAACCTTTACCTTTACCTTTTTAAACAAACTTATGTACAACAAAACACTAAAACGAAAGAAAGTCGTGTTTACAATACTGCTGAGAGTAACAAGCACACTAACTGGGAGAGAGCTAGGTTCTTCACTTCAGCTTGGATAACCTTCTTGGCGACTGTCCGTTATGGGTTGACCGACTACGTTACGGAGGAGAGCAGGAGTGGGTGTCATAGTTAAAGGGTTGGGCTAGCATCTGGAAGACCCAGGTTCAAATCCCCACTCTGCCATAAAAATTGGCTGGGTGACCTTGGGCCAGTCAGTCTCAGATGAACCTCCCGCACAGGGTTGTTGCAAGTTTAAAATGGAGGAACAAGTGGAGACCAGCGTACGCTGTCCTGAGCTCCTAGGAAGAAGGACGTGATAAAAATGTGTTAGATATTTCTGGTAACAAAGGAAGCCTTTATCAGCGGTATCTTAATACTGTATTTCTCTAGTAGCTCAGATTTTTTGCACAGTGCTGCCAAATCTGTAGGAAACTAGCATTCATCTAAATTATATTTCCAGAAGATAATAGGAGATTAAATGAATGTTTCTTGGGATCAAGCGTGACATTTGAGATCAATGGTTGGGGGAATCATCCGGGGCACTGCAATTCCATTCTGAATGGAAATGAAATTAAATAGTATTGTATGTTCTTTTTCAGAATTCTCTTTTCATAACCCACAGTGCTTATACCAACTAGGCCTATTGGTCCATCTAATTCAGTGTAGTCTGTCCTAACTGGCAATGGCGGTCTCAGGTCCCAGACAGAGAAAAATCTTTTCCATCTCCTGCTATCCAGGACTAAACATAGAGAGCAAATTCTCTGTCTCTAGGAAAGATGGAGGTCTATTCACATTTCTCCTGCCAGCAAATCTAGTTGGGTCCTCAAAGGCGGCGACTGGGAAAATATTTTACTTCTGTACTTAAACAGGGTTTTTTCCGGTAGACAAATGTATGTTTTTCATATCTAGATGATACGTTGGATCCAGTGGAAAATTTCTACTGATGGAGGGTGTGGGGAAGAGGGGGGCCAGTGGCTCAGTGGTAGAGCACCTGCTTGGCATGTAGAAGGTTCCAGGTTCCAGGTTCAATCCCTGGCATCTCCAATTAAAAGGATCTGGCAGTAGGTAGCTCTGACCTGGATCTCGGAAGCTAAGCTGGGTCGACTCTGGCAAGTCCTTGGATGGGAGACCTCCTTGAAGTACCAGAGGCAGGAGGTGGGGGCAGGCTTTACTCAGCCACCTCTCTGAATATCCTCCAGGCCCCCAGTAGGGGGTCAGTCGCCAGGGGTTGCTATGACTTCCAGGTGCACACAGATGCACACACACACCCAAAAAATACCCCCCCCCCGTGTTCTCTCTAAGCTGAGTTAGTCTGAGCCAACTCACAGTTTTTTAGCCGGTGGCTCACAGACTTTTGTCTCCGCTCTGGAAGGACAGCTCCAGAGCAAACTAATTTATGCAGCAGCCAAATCACTCGCTCACAACTCTAATGCCAGTAGCTCACAAAGTAGAATTTTTGCTCACAAGACTCCACAGCTTAGAGGGAGCAACAACAACAAAAAAAGGATCTAGCCGTAGGTGATGTGAAAGACCCCTGCTTGAAACCTTGGAGAGCCGCTGCTTATCTGCCATGCTGTCCTGGGGGGGGGAGTTCTCTATCCCCCAGAAGCAGCATTTTGAACTGCAGCAGGAGGGAGAGAGAATGAGGTCCCGTTCCACTTGATAGAATTCCCTTCTGTCACTGGAGATTTTCCGCAGGACCCAAGCCTTTATATCTTATTTCTTGCCGACACAAAAGCACACAGTGGCATGCCTTGCTGGTCTCGGGCCAGTGTGATGCTAAGCGAGAGGCCTTTCAGAAATAAGCCTATAAAGCGGAGCTAACAGCCGAGATTTATGATAGTGTTTCCTAATAATTGGTGTTTCCAAGTCACGTTTAATAGGATTTTTCTCATTGTACGTCTCCTTCCTCTGGCAAGCCTGCCCAACTCTTATGAATTGGTCAGATTAAAAATTGAGCTATTTCTTCAGTAGGAAGAGTTAGCAACAGAAAAAGAAACATCAGTGGTGCCTCGGTTTTCCTTATTCTGATCTCCTGAGACAAGCTAAGAGAGCCAGTGTGGTGTGGTGGTTAAGAGTGTTGGGTTTGTGCGCGGGGGGGGGGGTGAATTCCTGCTCATGCCATGGAAGCTCGCTGGGTGACCTTGGGCCTGTCACACTCTCTCAGCCTAACCTACCTCGCAAGGTTGTTGGGAGGATAAAATGGAGGAGAGGGGAATGATGAGAGTCACTTTGGGTTCCCGTTGGGGGAGAAGGTAGGATACAAACACATTAAATAAACAAGCTATGAACCATTTTGTCTGTTCAGTGATATTATTTCATTTCCCCTGTTCTTCCAAGAGGCTGGACAAATATTTATTGATTTCCTTTTGCATATCAGAACGGTCACCTGTGCGGTATAACTTGAGATTTCTGCCCATTCTTTATACCTTTGGATATTTTGCGATAATGTCAAAGTACATATTTGTGTAAAAGATTGTGTGGCGTTAGTCACCGAGCTAATGGTTTCACTGGCACATAATGATAATCTTATGTTTTTCATTTCTAATGGTAAATGCCAGTCGTGTATACGGCTCGTTGTTAATGTGTCACTTCATCCGTTGTTTACTCTTTTAATCGTAGATTCCATCACGGTGAGCGGTATATTTAACTAAATACCAATCTGTCCCTAACATGCCTATGATACGTTAGGGGATTCATTCGAACAACATATAAAATGTCAGGCCAAGAAAAATGAACCAGGGATACGGTTGCCAGCTCTGGGCTGGGAAATTCCTGGAGATTGAGGGGTGGAGTCCAGTGTTCCCTCTAAGCTGTGTAGTCTTGTGAGCAAAAATTCTCCTTTGTGAGCGACTGGCATGAAAGTTGTGAGCGAGGGATCTGGCTACTGCATCAGTTAGTTTGCTCTGGAGCCATCCTTCCTGAGCAAAGACAAAAGTGTGTGAGCCGGAGGCT